TATTCGTAACAGTGCTTTACTTTATTCATATGTTTGATGATTATTTTTAAATTCTCTGCTTTAAGTGTTAAATCGTTATTATATTTATTTATATTTGTGATTTCAAAAATTCCATTGTAATATTTATCTAATTTTCCTCTCCAAGGTTCTTTTATTGAGTAAATTTTCATACCAACTTCTAAATTCTGAGGTGTAGCATGCTTATCATAATTTTGTTTACTTTTATGTTTACGTTTCATAAGTTCATCGTGGGCTTTTTCATGCATATCTTTTAAACAACATATCAAATCAATAAGATAATTATTATAAGATTGCATTTGATTTTCAGTTGGATATGGATTTGGTGAACGTGGTTTTCTGCCGTATACTCTTTCATTTGGTGTAAATACGGTAGCTGTATGCATTGATGTATTGTATTCATGTATAGCAAAAGGTAAAATTTTATCCCGGTCCTGTTTAGTTGTAGCTTTTGTTTTTAAAAAGCTTGCAAGCATGGCATGACTACGTTCTAATGAATCATTAGATTGGGGATGGTAAGGTGTAGTGGTCTTTAGGTTAAAACCGAAAATTTGGGCTGAATTTGTTAATATATTATTTCGAAAACTCTCCATTATCGCCGAGTACTATTTTGGGCACTCCATACAACGCTATGAAATATCTTGCCAGAGCGTCTGCGACTGTGATAGTTCAAATGTCGGGTATAGCTACTGCTACACAGTATTTTGAAAATAAACATTGTATAGTTAATATATGTTTATTACCAGATGTTGTTGCTAGTATCGATGGCTGTTTTTGAAAAAACTTCAGCTGGAGTATCAGTCATTATCATAGGTTCTTTTGTTTTTTATCCGTGTTAGTTTTTGTTCTTGGCAAATTTTGCATTTTCGTACAAAATTTTCAATATCTTTTCTCATATCTTCAATATCTTTTCTTATACATTCTCGTATTCTTGTGTAAGTTTTATGCATGCCCCTGTGTCCACCGAAGAAACTCTTGTGGCATTCTATTAATTTTTGTTGTCTTATTTTGTTTGATAAATAAGCACATTCGCCGAAACATACAGTGATTTTAATGTTTACATGACTGAGTTCTTCATGAATTGTTTTGGGCAATATTCCTTTGGCAAATTAAGTATCGGTTATTTCAACCTTTCTGGATATTCTCAATGTATCTATATTTTTATTTTCTATTGCTTTGGCTAAACCTGCTATGCATGAATGAAGATCTTGAAGCAATATTTCATCTTTTTAAAGGCTCGATTTTAACATTCAATTCAAAGTACAAGTTTCTCTGTATAATTGTTTTATAATAGGGACATAATCCAGCATAACCTAACTTGTTTAGTTGTCCGTATTATGAAACGAACTTTTAAAATGAAATTCGATTCCATTACAACCAACTATTTGGCATTAAATGCAATTGTATCAAAAGAAAATCATGTCATTTGAGCAACGTACTCCAAGTAACTTAAAATTAGTACCCACAAATTACTTTATGAAGGACGTTCCATAATCGGGACATAAATTATGAAACACTGTGACAAGCCTTTTGGTGTTTTTTCATAATTCGAAGTGTTAAGCGACTAGTAGCGCCGCCCTGAGGGTTCGATTTGGAACTATATGTTTCCCCAAAGTATGCGTTCAAATTGTCGTGGTAGTACTGATGAGTTTTTATTTTTTTAATCATATTTCAGTGGACTTCAAACACAAACATACTAATTTTACTTATTTGGACGATTGTGCCTCGATAGCACAGTAAAAAATGTGGTTGGCGTTGGCCACATTTTTATCTTCCACATATTTGCGTGAACCTTCACCCACATAATCCATTAAATCGGTTAAGGAAATAAAAAAACTCAATTTCTACGTCGTTGCTACAGCGACGATTTGAACGCATACTTTGAGGAAACATATAGTTCCAAATCGAACCCTCAGGGCGACGCTACTAGTCGCTTAACACTTCGAATAGGGACACGTTAGGTGTTTCAATTTTATTAGAAAAAACAGTCTATTTTGCACAAAAACAATATAAAAAAATTATAATAAGTTACTAAAGTTGGAGCGATTTAAGAAAAACCAAAATCACTAGCATTAGAGCATGTCCGCTTTTTTTAAGACGATAGAGAAAAAAAATGCGAAAAGTTGTTTCATAATTAGTAAGTACTTTAACCTTACACAGATTAGGGATTTTCGAAAAAATGCGGCACCTGCATTTTGAAATACGGTCCTAAACTGTTTTAATAGTTATTTTAATTAAAGCAAAGTAAAGTCTTTTGAGTTCAAAAAAATAAATATGTTTGAGTGGCTAAAACATTTATTCAATGAGTCAAAATAATATTTTTCTACATTAGCCCACCAAATTCAATTTTTTTATACAAAATAAGAATTTATGTATTGTTTTCATGATATTGGATATACTTTTATGATCAACTTTTTATTCGAGGAATTTGAAACAATTAAATTTTTTATATTATTACTACCCACACGGTATGTTTTATTTTTCAACTGCCCCTGTTGCTCATCTGAGAATAAATCAGTTTCAGTTGTACTTAGGTTTACTTGTTCATGTGAGTGTAATGAAGTCACTATTTGTTTTGATTCTGAAGGAGTATCTTGGGTCAAGCTATTCTCACAACTACTTTTTGCACCAGACTCCATTTGCACCTTATTACGAGGTGTACTGTTCAAGTTCTTATTATTAGATTGCTTACAAATAGTGTCACTGTGTTGAGTTGTATCCAAATCTGTTGGCATATTTTTTGTTTCTATGATTTCCTGTTCATTTTGTAGTCTATTATTACATGAATTTTTGAACTTTACCCAAAAATCATACAGATCTGTTGATTCAATATCCCCAGTCCAACTAGAGTTTCTGTTTTGTTTAAATTCTTCTAAGGTTCGTGGGTTGATAAAAGATTCAATAAAAATTAACATTTTATTCAAACGAGTAACTTCAAACCCATCGTCATTAGCACTCAGATTTTCTGATAACCCTTCACAACTTTCACTCACTAATTTACATTCAGTACTGTCAGGTGAAAATGGATGTAGACCACAATCAGTGAAAAATGTTTTAAAAATGCTTTTAAAATCAATTGAATCTAGTGATGTTTTTAAAACCATTGGGAAATCGATTTTTGTCAAGTATTGTTCATCATTTTTTCTTCTCCATATTTTATTTTGATTTTTGTAAGACATCTCCAAAGGATGAAACAATCCCAAATTTGTCGGTAGATGTGCATGGGTTTTATTAGCGATAAGACCAATCAGTTCAATTTTTTTTTCACAACAAAAGTCACTTAAGGATTTGGTAAGATAAGAACAACGTCCATCGACGTAAAGTATCACTGGAAACTTTAACTTTTGCTCAACACACCACGGGTAAAAGTAATTTGAAATATATAAATGAGCAGTTTCAGTTGTCATCCACTGGCTAGCACTTTTCCCAATCACAAATCCATCAGGAAAATTATCAGCCATTTTTTTTGGTATTCTTTCGTAGTCATAGATGATCATAGGAGGAAGCAAACTTCCTGCAGCGTTTCCACCAATTAAAGCTGTGAGGCACTCTTTATCACTTTCAGAACTACTATGAACTGTTTTCCACCCTTTTTGCATCAGCACTCTTCCATTTTTTGGATTCAGCATAAATGATAATTCAGCTAAATTAAAAATCCTGCTGGATTCAATATTAAGTAAATTTTTGTAATTCAAGTGTGAACCTACTTTCTTAAACCAATCTTGGATGAATTTTTCCGACACGTTGGCTCGAGTCTTCAAGCTCTGTGACATAATCTCGGATACTTCTGGATTCCTCCGAAGAAATGCCTCATACCAGTGTCTAGAGGGTCTGCCACCATTAAATGGACTAGGCCTCTCTGAGTTTTTTATAATAACCTGGACAGTGTCAAGCAATTGTTCTTTGAGTACAGTAAATCCACAATTACTTAATTGAAAAATCCACTTGACAAGTTCTTTCTCTTCTGTCCGTCTGAGAATAGGCTTAGTACCCTTCTTTACATCATAATCGTAAATACCTTTGCATCTCGAATGTAACGTTGCATAAGGAACACCATACGATTGGCTTGCTGCGAAAATCGATTTTTTCCCCTTTTTAACTGTTTCCACAGCTTTTTTAACATCCTCTACAGAATAACAATGCTGTTTTAACTGCAATTAAAAAACATGTCTATTATTTTTCAAACTACATAATTCAATTTCAAAGTCAACGACTTCACCAATGTTCATAACCATGACTTGTTTTCAGCAATGAGTCAAAAGTTATCAACTAATTTTAAATTTTGCAAGTATTCAAAAATTATTACTGGACTGCAAGACTTTCATTATTTTGAGAAAGTTAATAACGTTGACACCTATTCTGTTCTAGTTTACTGTAAAATATGGCTAAGTCGTAAAAGATTATTAGGAAATTCACTTATTTGTTTATACTTTACCCGCTTTATTCTGCCCATCGTTATAATTTCGTGTCTCCACTTTCTACGGTGTAACAACTGTACTTTTGTGATGGGTGATGGTCCTATGCATGAGTATAAGGCATAAACTGCATAATTTTTGTGCAAAATGTGAGCTGTTTCATTTGAAATCCAACAGATGGCGTATGACAGTCGAGGACTGTGGGCATGAAATTATTGAAATATTCGACCATTACTCAGCCAACTCAGCCTGCCTGATAGGCCTGATCATCCGCTGACCGAACGAAGAAAAACGTGCTCATAGGATTTTTGCGTCTTAGTTCCCTACCTTGAGCCCCTTGAAGACAGTAAAGTAAGGAGTCGTTCAAAATAGTACTAACGAGCGTACCTATGAGCTATGAGGACCCTATACTCAATACCCCATGCCCTGGGGTCCAAGGAACTCGGCCTACCAACCGAACAAGCGACCACAAAAATTCCGCATTCCGGGCACCCGGATTCGGAAAGGCCAGAATAATATATAGGTGTACAAGAAGGTGTTTTGGAGTATTTATTATGTGTGTTTATATATAAAAAAGACTTGTAAATGTGTGGTGTATTGTCAGGTCAAGTTATTGTGCAAATCAGCGTGACAAAGCGGTGAAACATGGCGCTTGCTGAGCTTTGTGGTTTAAATTCTATCATCAACCTCAATAATTCACAGCAAATCGATGGATTCCACCATGAAATCGAATTTCAGAATTTTACAAATAGCATGGCCCTGGCCATCCCACCTTATGGCAACGTAAGTTCACTCAAATACCTATTTATCTTTGTTGACAGTCAAATTGCTCCTAAAGTCCATTGTTGCTAGTTCAAAATATTATCAAATTTCAACTGAGTTTTTACAATATGTATGTTAAAAAAATTCATAACTTCCAACCTTTGTTTATTTTATTTCTCCAATTATGTTTCGTGAATGGTAGTAGAATTTGTTTGGAGGTTATGCAGCCAAGAATGACTGGTGGTTTCTGTATGCTGTAAATATTATTATATAGGTGGAAAGATTCAGAGATAATTTTTGTATATTTTTATTTCAGCCTGCTGACTTTCTAGGTCAACTTGCCAAAGAAACAGACGGAAGTGGCCAACACCTTAAGATCAAATTTGATCATGGTACCACTACGTTGGGCTTCATGTACGAGGGAGGTATCATACTCGCAGTAGACTCTCGGGCCACAGGAGGAGAGTACATTGGTAATTTTTTTGAATTTTCAATATGCTATGGCTTGTATAAACACGGTAACTTTATCATCAATCAATGTACTTGTTTGCAGGTTCACAAACCGTCAAAAAAGTTGTCCCGATCAATGAATACCTGTTGGGAACCGTGGCTGGAGGAGCAGCTGATTGTCTGTACTGGGATCGAGTGTTGACAAAACAGTGTCGCCTCTACGAGCTGCGTAACAGATCGCGAATTTCCGTTGCTGCAGCTAGCAAATTGATGTCAAATATGGTTTACAACTACAAAGGAATGGGCCTTAGTATTGGTATGAATGTTTTAGTGATATTTTGAGTTATCACAGATTTTCTGTTTTGTCCATTGAAGTCATCTAAATGCTCCATCCAAAAGTACCTGGATATTGTCATAAAGTCAATGAAAAATTATTCACATGTTTTAATAACCACTTGAATAGTTCAAGCTAAGTAGCCTATATTTTTTAGGTATGATGGTTGCTGGATGGGACAAAAGAGGACCAAGCTTGTATTACGTTGACTCTCAAGGAACTCGTACTCCTGGGAAAGTTTTCAGCGTTGGCTCTGGTTCCATATATGCATATGGTGTTCTAGATTCTGGTTATCGTTATGATTTGACTGATGAAGAAGCCTATGAGTTGGGTAGACGAGCTATTTATCACGCTACTCACAGGGATGCATATTCTGGTGGTATTGTTAGAGGTAAGAATTAAAATAATAAGTAACTTATCGTTTTGTAAATAGCCTAAGTTAATGGAGGTGTATACCAACGTACGTGTAGTACTTTAAGAATTGAGAAACAGCTGTCGAATCTGGCCTAAATAGTTTTTGATATTTAATAATCAAATGAGAAGGATTTTTTTTATCATATTAGTCATTTTAATATTGCAAAATTCGGAGAATTGTTTGTTTACATTATGGCACTATTAAAAATATAGAATCAACTGTTTTTTTTTCACTTCTATCTTTTATGTACTGATAAATAAGAAATAACTTCCAGTAAAAAACAGAAGGAAGAGAAAATCTCATGTTTGAACAAAAATAGTTGCTTACTAACGATTTGTGGTTTTAAACATTGGTATCCAATATCTTATTATAAATTTACTACTGTATAATTTAGTAACTGGCTTTAAGTACATTTTCTTCGCAGGGAAAACTTTTAATGGAAGCAAATTTTTAGTAATTTGTTGGTTCTCGGTGCAGTTTAAAAAAAATTCGATCCAGAATCAGTCATTTGCCTATTCATTATTTATTTTAATGATAAAATTGATGAAACAATTCAACAAAATAAACATCACTTTCTGTTAAAGACAGCATTACCAATACATAAAAGAAAAATAAATGAACAATCGTAGTTTCTTCCCTAATATTAAAAATTATTTTTATGTTTGTTTGCAGTTTATCATATGAAATCAACTGGCTGGGTGGATATCAGTCACCAAGACTGTAAAGATTTGCATTATGCTTATGTTCAAGAAAAAAGTGCTAATTAAAGAAACTTTTCCGTATTAAAGGTCATGAGTTCTACTATTTAACAACAAAACATTTTTATTACAAAGCTGTTCAATACCATTACACATACAAATCAATTTGATACGTTACGAAAGTGTTTAATTTTATTAATACCAAGTTCAAAACAAAATTGCCATTTATTGTGGCTTGCGTTGCAGAAAAATGTGCAGAAATTATGCTTGAAGAATTTTTAAAATTCCAAATATTTTGAAAACTCAAATTGAAGTAATACATCTAAAATTCAGATAATAATTAGTTTTTTATTTGACAATTATAACATTCGAATACCACAGCAAACATAAAAAAAAAAATTCCTTAGGAATTTAATAGGGAGAGTAGTATTTTTTCCTCATTTATTTTTCATTCCATAATGAATAATTTTCTAAGTTTGAAAGTACTTGTCACAAGCAAAAAACCTATTGTAGTTTATATTATTTTATGTAAAAATAACCACACTTTCTACAAAAGTAGGTATGTACAATCAGTGTCTTTTAGACAAAGGTGTTCAACAAACAATTTTTGAATATAAATTTTTAATCCATAGTCCGAAGTTACTATTAACATTAGTGTAGTTGCCTCGAAGCCTTTCGAGGATAGCGCAGAGTCGAATGAAAATATAAAGATGACGCCAAAATCACTGTAAAACTTGAAAAATCTGTTTTCTAGAGTGAGTTGACTCATCTGAAACGTTCCCAGTATTTTCGATATGTCGTTTTTTAATCGTGGATACGTGTTGTCAAAGTTGAAGTTTTTGTGGTAACTTTGCTCGCATGGAAGAAATCTCAACATTTTTCGCAAATACAATGCCTATTTAAAAATTGGAGTTTATTTCGGAAATTAATCGTAATTTGGTATAAGATTAGATAAAAACAAAAACTCTTGAGTGTAGGGTGGTAAAGTTTTCTATCGATTAGGTATTTTTTACTTACATTATGCCCCACTCCAAATTAAGAGATAAAAAGAAAAAAGGTATTTTGTTATCCGACACCGTGGACTCGTTCCGAATGATGTACTTACTGACGAGCATACCCGGATAAGCAAGCAATTTATCATTTGAAAAGATCGGAATAAAAAGTTAGTGGCACCGGTGGCACGCCAAATTCATCAGAAATACATTATCTGCAATCGTAGATGATTCATACCACAGCCCTAGACAAGATTAGCAGTAGATGAGCGGCATGAAAAGGCCATTTTCCCCCCTTTATGGTTTAGGATTTAAACTATTATAAAAATCCAACTGGCAAAGTTGCGGCTGGCTTCGCTTTTGTGTGTGTGGGGGGGGGTCCAATTTTTTTAAGGTCGACTTTCGGGATAGAAAATAGATTCTATAATTTTCCCACGCACTTGACCGATTCGAGCTGGTGGACTAGCAGTTTAGATTTTCGACCACCCTCGAGTGAGCACTCTTTCGGGCCTCAACTTTGGCAGAGATTACTTTAAGTAGTTATACTTTATACTACATGTGAGTACATCTGTACGTCTTTTGAAATGCATCGAATCATTTGAATGATAACATTTGAATTGAAGCATTAAAGTGTTTTTAAACAATATTTGGAAAACTGTAAATTAAAAAAAAATTTGTTTGTTTCAAAAAATTATTCAAAAATACTTCAACTTACGACAATATACGCTGATATACTGACAATAAATTAGATTTGAACGCAACTTTTCTTCTTAAAAATTTGAGACAGTCTAGTCTGCAGGGGAGTCAGCAGTAATTTTTGACAATATACACACATACCTCATCTGCAGATGTTTCCTGCAGGAAAATTTTCTAAGAGGGGGCAGCACTTCTATCATCAATCCATGTACCTATAAAGGATAAAAAATGTTTTGATAATGTGACTTGTATTCGATGACTTAAAAAGCAAACAACTGAAAAATGTGATCAAGAGTACGACACTCATTCTTCTAATAATATAAACATTGTTGAATCAATGAAAGATAGTATTGGTGAGTTTTTAAGTAGATGTATTTCTTGCTACGTACACATTACATAGGACCCCAGAATTAAAAAAAAAACTGTGTGCCATTAAAAAAAAAATTTCCTTCTTTTTGTGTACCAAAAATAGAATTTTATTTCTAAATTTCCTCATGTATATATCATATTGAAATTGAATGTCATGGTAAAGGAATCATCACAATAAAATTGGAGAAATTTTAATAAGTAAGAAAAAATTTCAAAATTTAAAAATTTATTTTGAAATTTTTTTTCCTAAGAAGGATTTTTTATTGCCTTTATCTATTACTCTAAGCACTTGTAATATTAATATTTCTCCAATGCTGGCGAATTATAAAATGACGATTCACTCGAATTTGCTCCAATCTCTAATTCGTATATGTACTTAATCCAACAAACGTAAACGTAATAAAAGTATAATTTTGATAAAAATGAGTTTGAATAGGAGCTCTATTAAAAAAATAAAATTTTGGTTGGCCATATAGGTACATATCAACACAATAAAGGAATCTATTTCTGTACTTGAAATACAAGAATCGAATCTTAACGAAAGGTTAATAAGGTCTTCGCGACCATATAATTAAATCCATTATTCGCAAATTAAATGCACTTGAGTCGATCAACCAGGAACTAAAATAAAATATGCTATTAGCCTATATTTATGCGGACAAACACTGTTTAACGAAATCGAAATATATACACAGTAAAAAATTTAATAAAATGTACTAAGTTACTAAAAATTTAATTACGACAAATTCAAGAACAAATAGGGAATAGACCTCCAATCATTAAAAGTTGCTATATTAAAGCTCGCAATTATGACAAATAGTGCATTCAAAAATTTTTATTCGTACATTTCCATGAAATAAAAGAAGGAAAATCGCTGGTAAGGTCAAAAAAAAAAAATTAAAATTACTAACAAAGATAATTAATTTAAAATTATTAAGAGTCACTTATAAAGTAAATTAAAATGTATTGTGAAATCTGGCATCTTATAAAGTCGATTAACTAGCTCCGGTCCAAAATGCCGATTCAAGTCGATTGACTTTTATGGCACTTTTCATCACTAAAGCTGATTAAAAATGAAAATATCCAAAAGTCCTATTTGTCTTTTATAGCAAGGTATACGTTATTTTCAATGCAATTATTTTTTAAACTTTAAAAGAGCGTTACGGTAATGACACACCTGTTGAAAAAAACTGACAGTAATATTCTCGTACACTCTGGAATACAAAACGATTAACTCCAAGTCTCTGAAAATTAATCACTTGGCCAAATTAAATCATTGGTGGCGTACAATTAAAAAGTGTTGAAAGGAGGCTTTACAAATGAAACGTCGCGTAATTAACAAAAAAAAATTTTTTTTTGCTTTAAATCTATCAGATAAGGTGCTCAACACCTCAAAATTTTAGACAGTACATCGTAAAAAAATTGAAAAATCAACGTCTAGGCACTAGAAGCTACAAAAAATTAAATTTTTAAATGCTTAATGGGGAAAATTATTTACTTAGTAAAATTTACTAAACCTAGTTAAGTAAATCCTTGTAAAATTGCTATTAAATACAAATTAATCAAGTTGTTAAGCGAGTTTTGCTCAGTCTAGTTGAGTAAATTTTACTGACACCAAAGTTGAGTAAAAGTTACGTAAGTAGTTGGGTTACCGTAACTATAAATATATACTTGGATGGATGTAAATGGCCAGTCTTGCTCGAGCGCTCGTACCGAACGCACGCTTTCTGTGCACGCCCGTTACGCATCGCTCTTACTCAGACTTGAGTTCTCTCTAAACGGCCCTTTTCAGGGCTACCTAATTCACCTAATATTTCTCTTTCAGTAAACGCGACTTAGTCGCGCCGCGCGACTGTGTTTCCGCTAAATTATACACCCGCGTACACGCTGCCCTCAGGGGTGGCTCAATTGGCTAGCCCTTCACTAGAGCACAGCCAAAAAATGAGCACTGTGGATAATCCACAATTTCAAGTCAGTGTGACTAACTCTTTCGACGCGCTGTTGAAAGAAACAGACTCATCATCTTCCGAGATGTCCGCGCTAAATGGTGCAAGTGTCAGTGCTAGTGCAAGTGACAATAGTGCACAGTTCCCCGCAGTATCTGACATGACAGTCAGCCGGCCAATGGACCAGCGATCCCTCGAGCTGAAAAGCCGAGACCTCCGCGTCAACCGACACGACTCCCAGCGGGAACGCAGCCCGCTCTCCCGTGGCGATACACTGGCCAAAATTGCAGCCGAACTCGCCGAACTCCGACAGCGGAACGAGTACCTGGAGAAGATTACGAGTGAGTACTCTATCCAGCTGGAAAAATCCAACCGGCAAATTGCTAAACTTGTTCGATCCAACAAGGAGAAGGACAATATTATCGCGGCTATTTACGTCAAGTCCCCCCGCGCAGCGGAAAACACCCCGGTAATAGTTCCGGATTTTATCTCTCCGTCACCCGAAAACCGCGACCCATTAAACCTTCTAAATTCCTCCACTTCGGGAACAAAGCAGCCCCCTCCCATGCCCAGCCCTAGGCCAGTGGAAAATGCCTCCACAAATTCCGCCGTAAAGAAACCCGTCGCAAAGAGAAGGCGTACAAAATTAGTGACCAACGTGTCACTATCTAGTTCCGAACTCTCCGATATGGAGTTTGAAGAGTCTCGCGACTCCCAACCTCCACCAAGCTCCTCCCAAGTAGGGAAAAACGCGTTCGACGGTCACATCGAGGACCAAGCTCAACATGACTCGGAGGAAACCAACAGCGCCCCCAAAAAGAAGGCACCTCCACCGATCACAATCCTGGACCTAAAAATTATGGCCCAGGATTAACAAAGCCCTCATAGCAGAGAACATCCCTGTTCGCCGCGCCATTACGACCTCTGAAGGCACTCGCGTGTACCCCGAGAACGTCGACAGCTTTCGACGAATCGTCCACGACCTTGACGAGAAAAAGGTCGAGTTTACCATTCATCAACTTCACGAGAATTGTGAAATGATAGTTGTCATCCATGGAGTCAACATCGGCTATACGGAAGCAGAAATTCTGGAGATGATCCAGGAAAAAGTACCATCCACCCGTCGGGCCCATCGCATGACCAAGGGTGAACGGACCTGGTCCCTGGTTACCGT